AAGGCAAAGCTCTCCCACCTGAAAGCTTCTCTGGAAAAACCAACATCTGATGATGGCCAGATGGGCAAACCAATGATCGCAGAGAGCTATCGCATCTAGGAAAATAGATTTTTCAAATCTGTTGCAACGATTTTTAAGAGTCTGAGGCTTCGCCACCGTCTACTTTTGAAGGTTATCTTGGCTTCATGCTTACGGCATTGATACACGTCAGGCTAGAGGGCTTGATTGAAGGGTCACCCCAACCCTAAACCCTAAACCTCGGAGAAAATCTGCAAGCTCTGACCATGGAAGCCTGAACAGGTCCAGAGGCTCAAGACCTCCCAGAACCATAAGCCTAGACTACCAGACCTCTACATGCCGGAGGCACAGCCCTTATATAGGGGCCTTAAACATTAGAGTAGGGATTGCGCGCACATCATAGTATAGTTTGATGATGAGAGCCATGATAACGATAGTCATAATGAGGGATGAACAAGGGCCCTACGGAATAACAGGGGTGATCATCTTGGCTGCTACAGCAACCCTAAACCCTAAACCCTATAAACCCTAAACCCTATAAAAGCTAAACCCTAAACCCAAAGCCCCAAGCCATCCAATTTCGCAGCCTTGGTGTCGTTGCCGCTGTCGCCATTGGCATAGCCGAAGCAGAAGCCCCCCAGGTGCCTCAAATTTGGCAGTCTCACGTCTAAGATGAGCTTCAAATCCCTGTCCTCTGGAAGTGTAGGGCGGGCTGGATTCTGTAGCTTGTAAGTCCGCTCCTTGTCAGGGTTTAGGGTTTAGGGTTGAACGAGAAAGCTGGTATCCAAACGCGGGTAATGAGATTTGCAGTCTGTTCAGTTGGGTGTTTGGCAGAGTGAAGGGTTGGGCCACCCTAAGCCAGCTGGTGTCACAGCTTCTGTCAAAGATGATTCGAGGATTTATATAGCCCTAACCTCCCATATCCGCTGTTTTCAAATTTCCAGTTTTCAAGTCCGAGTCCTCGAGAGAAATGGCGGCTGAACAGCCGGAGCTAGGGGCCTTTTACCATGCTCCCTGGATCTGCGCTGCGACAACCGCCGTGCTTAAAACGCTCTGTAACCCCAGCGTAGCATGATGATAACGCACACCCACAAACCCTAAACCCTAAACCCTAAACCCACAAAAACGGTAAGCACAACAACTCAAGGTTTCCGAGCGTTGGGCCTACACCAGGTTGCTGTGCTTCCCTCGGCCCCCTCACTCTACCCTCTGTTGTACCACCAAAACTAAGTTCTTACGAAGGAAGAACATGTCACATCATGTGCCAGCAGGGCTGAGGAATTAGGAATTTGCTTCAAGCTCTGCGTCAACAGAAACCGTGCTTGAACCGATGATACCTGAAGCAGCCACGTCGCCAAGAGCTTTGAGGAAGGAGAGTCATGTTCGCCTGACGGGCACGGGGGATGCAGGGTTAAACGCCGTCGCAAGGGTTGTTCAAGCCAACAACAGAGCACTTAGGCTGAAACGGCTTGAGCCTCCGTAATTCACCCCTTAAGCTTACCCGTGCAGCACAACTCCCGAACAAGTCCAGGACTTCCGGCCCAAACATTAGGAGCATTTTCAAGTTACTGCGCTTCCGTATTGTAAAACACTCTTAATTGGAGGATCTTAAGGTGATTATAAGCGAAGGGGCAATGCCATACGTGGCGAGAGTTACTGAATGCGGGGGAGTGTCATCTCTTTGCGGGGTGATGTGCGTGCCGAGCAGAGAAATCTCTTCGTGTTGTCATGCTATGATCACATCCCCAACCCTGTACCTGATCGTTGAAGTAGGGCTTGTAAAGAGGACTTCATGTGTTTGGGAATTTCGGGCTTAGCCGCCAGTGTCATGGAGATTTCCGGCTTGTAGTTTCGCTTTTGTTTGGAGCTTCGGGATGTTGGGTACACATTCACGCAAGTACGCCCCTTCCCCGGAGAACCGCTGAAATCTCTGAGGTGGAGAACTTGCCTTCGGGGGCGGCAGCCTGTCACTTCAACCCGAGCTACCCCTGAACTAAGAAGCTTGTTGCTGCACTTCTGGCACCTCCAACCGCACTGCGGATTGAAAGCCCCCATGTGCGAAAGCCACTGCAAGCAGCGGGCAGAAGCGGAGCACGAAAGCCATTGCGGGCTGCATTCCCGGCATGAGCCCTAAGCCTAAATCGCACTGGAGCCCTGACACAAAGGTGGTGATCATTGAAAGGTGATCATTGAAAGCGGGTGGTGCTTCTCCTCACATGTTGTTCGACTTGCGTCATCCTGAAACCTTGAAGCATCCCGTAGAACTGATATAGTCGGTATACCGTATACCTGTTTTTGTTGCGCGATGTGGTGCGGTGTGCCGGCTTGCAACAAGGAAAAACACCTCATGATAATGTAGCGACTACCCGAGCCAAATCTTCCTGCACACTCATGGCTTCAGGGCTTATAACGGGGTTCCGTTCTTAATATAGGCGGCTAAATAATTACCTACATTATTTTGGGTGGTTTCTTATTATGACTGTAGTATAATGGGCACCAAAACCCTTTTCTGATTATTGAGGCCCCTATATTATGACGTTTAGGGTTCACGGCTTGCCATGAATCTTGGCGTCCCACTATAGGAGGCAGGTTGTCAGTTCAAGGCTCAACGGCTTGGGGTCCACCGTCCTGCGTGCCGTCACTGCGACAACCCTTGAAAGCCTTCCCCGTCATCATGAGAAGGCCGGCGCAATGATTAAACAAAGTTTAGTCTGGCGCCTGACATCGCACAACAACAAACCCTAAAGCCTTCGACAACGGGGGTCATAGGTTTCCAATAAACAAAAACCTAGAATACTACAATAGGGTTTAAGCATAGGGTCTAGGGCTTTCATGGACTTCCAGTGACGTCCGTCTTGAAAAGCCTATATAGGGTTCCATTTAGCTTCCGTAATTTAGGGTCTTGCGGACTGTGCGATCGGTTTACACGAGACTTTTACAAAGGCGATCGCTGAGTGCGAGAGCTCAGCGACCGCCTTTTCATGGGTTCACTGTAATATAGCGGCCTTAATAATGACCTATACTATTTTGGGGGTTCCCTGACATAACTACAATATAATATACACCAAAACCCTATTCTAATTATTGAGGCCCTACATTATCCCAGGGCCTTGGGCGGTCTGGCCATGATGGTTTGGGAATCGGGCGGCGAAGTCGTATAGGTTGTCGCGAGTTTAACATCGTCTGGCTTCGGAGTCGAGCAAACAACAGTTGGGTTTCGCACCTCCAGCTGTTTGTGATCAGCCGCTTGACAGCATCTGCAGGGTTTAAGGCTTCGGGCTTGGGGCTGAAACACCCCTAAACCCAATCGCTTCCCAGCACCGAGAGAGGTGCACTTGCCTCGTCCACAGGTGCTCCGATCAAGACCCCTGGGCCATGGTGGTGGTAGCCTGGCCAGGGCAATCATACAACCAACAACCATTGAAAGTACTATCTCGAGAGCATATAACCATGTGTGTATATTCATTCATTCATACAAACATAATTACATTCATACATACATACGTACACACATACATACATACATACATACATACATACATACATACATACATACATACATATGCCAGAATAGGCTTGAGTCGGAGTGCAGTAATTACAGGAGATCGGCAGTCCAAAACCTTGTACCACTTGCGGGACATTGGAGCTTCCGCGACATGATGCAACTGCTTTTTTCGGTAAACGCATAGGGCTTAGGTGTAGCCTACGGTTCTGGCTTCCCACTACACCCATACCAGGCCCTGAGAACCTGAAGCTCGCTTAAGCTCCCGCCCCCTTCAGCCGGACACCCCGTGAGCTTCCAAGCTACTTGCTGAAAGCCGAACTTTCCCCAAACTCGCTTTACATGATGTCACGGGTCTACCATTACGTTGTGCCGGGCATTTGGAACAATTGTCTGAGCAAGATTGCCAAGCAATCTCGCAGTCTTAGTTTCGCCGACTACTTGACTACTGTACAGTACCTTTTCGAACAAGATTGCAAGATCGGGGAGCAAGATTGCCAAGCAATCTTGCAATCTTGGTCTCCAAAACGTATTCTACTCGGCGAGCAGTTGGGATAAGTGGGGCAAGGGGGGGAGCAAGGTTGCCAGCAATCTTTCAATCTTGGTCTCCAAAAGGTAAACTAGTGGGCGAGCAAAAGGGGCAAGTAGGGCAAGATGACCAAGATTGCTTGGCAATCTTGCTGCCCCCCCCACTTCCGTCAAATGCTTGTTCTAAACTCCCGGCACAACGCACTATCAAACTCCACATGCTGCATCTCCCGAACGTTTTAAACCGATCTGCGCGTGAAACGCCCGCTCGTCGGTGCTGGTGAAAACTGGAGTTGCAAACTGTCACTGCTCCTGGTGGATCTACATACAACTGGTGGTTTCATGGTGCAGAGGTTCCGGCCCCATCTCCACGAATGTAAAGCAAGAACAGACATGACGTCCTGATTGAATCCTCTTGCCTGTATGAACGCTACAAGTCCTGATAACTAATAGGCGCGGGCTATCTTATCCGTACTGTAGCAACATCCTCGCTATTTCACCTGCCTCGTTCGGCATGTATGTATGCATGCGTGCAACCAAACATCGAGCTGTAACTATAGGTTCACCCAAACCTCGAAGCACCGAAAAACAAACCCAGAATTACAGTCTACACGTCGCGACATCTGCCAATGTTTCCTCGCAAATCCTATGCTGCCCGCGCCCGCCCCAGCCCAGTCTACCCAAACCATGCCTTTCAAAACTGAGTCTCTACGACCTACTCTACCGCTCGGATCCCATACTTTCATAGGACATGCATGTGGTAGTCAAGAAAAAGATTTAAAAAACAAAAACATAATAAGGTACGGGTGTTTACATAGCTTAGGTGTTGTAATCATCGAAATATAATTGATAAGGTTGTGGAGTATATGCTGCAGTCGTTGTATTCTTAAGAAACCCCGCGGAATAGCATTTGGTAAAATATTCCGGCTCCTATGTTGCACCCTGAAGCCTCTCAGCTGCTCTCAGATCTGGTTCTTCCTAAGTTCGCGCCGCGGACGTACTTGGTGACCTCCCGGCCCTCTGACAGGTCAAGCGTGTCGCCTTCGCGCGACACAAAGGCGTGCGAGAGCATTTAAAGACGTGGGATCTCGACTGATTTCGGGTTCGAGCCTTTCTGCTATTAATTGCTGAAAAATGGGAAGGAGGCTTGGGGTTGAGGGTCTTGTATCACCTCCAAAGGGCTGGGAGTACAGTGTTATACAGGGCCTGAGTACCTGTCTGGCAAGTTCGAAGTCCCTCTTAATTCCATAGTTTAATTGTGGAGAGCACCAAAGTCACTAAACACGGAATCGGACCTGATTAACGGATGGGGATTCGATGTCTATGGGGATGGTGAGGGTTCCGCCAAACCACCCAGACCAAACCCTCAAGCCTCCCCTAAGCTTTCGACCTCGCCTTCCGACTCGACAACTCATAGGTTAAAAAACCCGAAAACTCACAGACGTTTACGAACCAATGACCGTAATGTTTGGAAGCGCAGAAACGGCTTTGTCCTTGATGCAATACGCGCAAGAAGAGAAGGAAGCTGTGCTGCATTCAGTCTTCAGCTGCACGGCCGATCGATAATGACAGGCTTCGGTTTGTTTTTCGTAATTAGGGCTTGGAACAACACCCGGAAATTATCAGCTGCAGCTTGGCTGCTAAGCCCATCTTCGCCAATTTTGCTGCGCCCTGCCTGTGGTTGGGATCGGAATCGTGGTCCCGGCTCGAGAATCTACGATTGAGGATGACTACTATATGTTCAGGGAAACAGTATATACGAGGGACGTGCTAGTCGGGCGAAGGATCCAGGATGGGCATCGGGAAGGCCCTGGTTTTCGCAGAGTCGGGTTTGCAGGTTTGAGGTTTAGGGCTTCGTAGGGTCGAGGATCTACGGCTTCAAAGGGGTTTAGGGTTTAGGGGTTTAGGGTTTAAGGTTTAGCCCCTGCCGCACCGAAAGAGCCAATTTAATTCAGAGCTGCAAACCGAAGCGGCAAATCTGACAACTTCCATCTAACCCTTAACCCTGAACCCAAAGCCTCAGCCGGACCGCTTCGGGCTTCCAACTCGTGGATGACTACATGCCGCCCACGGTTTGGGGTTTAGGGTTTAGGGTTTAGGGTTTTGGGTTTAGGGTTTTGGGTTTAGGGTTTAGGGTCAGCTCCTACATTATGCAACGGAGCCAAACCTGACGAAACAAAACGGTGCCTGCACGCGCCCGAAATCCATATGAAGGGTTTCTAGCAATAGCGGACTTCTTCTACTGAGGCGCTGACACAATTATGTGAGTTATGTGTATACACATATACATATACATATGTAATAAAGGTACAGTGCAGGCCAAGGTTCGTTATATCTAATGAATCCCCATATACCCTCGAAGTTGTCTGCTCGATCTCTTGGCCTTGGGGAGCCGCAAAATCATGGCAAAGCTGTATATCCTTCGCCGAGCCGGAACTTTGGGTTGCGAGGGCTTGTGCATGGTTGTACTTCATGTACGGTTTAGGGTATAGGGTTTTTTGTATTCTCCTGATGTACTCCTCCGCCCCACTTGTCAGGCAGCTAATGTTCAGAATTGGGGCTTGGGGTGTGGGGTGGTCGGGTTGACGGCTAGTGCCTACAGTCTAGAGGGATTTTAAGCCTGGGACTCCACCGGAGATTAGAAAAGGAAAACCAAGACATGATAAAGAAAGGCCAATCAGAAGCAAGGAAATTATCACATGGAAAAATGGCAGAGACGCCACAGACATGACACCTGCAATCCAAAAACCGCTGGATAGTCTTTATGAGACCCGTGGAAGAAGACTCTAGGCCTCTCACTAGCCTGAAACGAGAACCCTCCTAAACATCCCTAATTCCCAACCCCAAACCCTGAAAGCGTATGACACTTAAAAACCCTTCTGAAACCATCAAACTAGAGAACCCATACTTACCAAACCACAAAACTTCAAGACATCTCCCAAGCCCCAAAAACCTAGTATACTTGCCGAGATAACGAGAGAGTGGGGTTCTGCTGTTCCCCCTAAACCCTAAACCTTATAGACCTTTACAGCCTATCTCATAACAGGAAACCTCCCCCCTAAACCCTATAAACCTTATGGACCTTTACAGCCTCTCACATAACAGGAAACCTCCCCCCCCCCACAACCAAAGAACAAGCCGAGCGTCAGGGGAGCCATTGCCATGGCAGAGAGAGTGAGCTCGGCACCTAAGACCTGGGCGGTGCAGGGTTTAGGGTTTGGGGTTTAGGGGTTTTGGGTTTTAGGGTTTAGGGGTTTAGGGGTTTTGGGCTTTGGGGTTTAGGGGTTTTGGGTAGAGGGTAGGCGGAGTCGTCGACTTTCGGGTCGCTTTAAGGGTTTGGTGTTGTCCCTGCCCGAAACTCAACCGTCTGTACGAACCGCGACCCCTGGTCCACGAAAGCCCATAGATGCCAAAACCCTACAAATTCCATAGGTTATGACTTACGACCAGATAATCATCCCAAATACCCCTTGAAAGCGGTAGGCTATTGGAGCAACCCCAACACCGAAAGGGATGAGCTCGCAATCCTCAATGCTGCGCAGCAGCAGGGAGGAGCAGCAGCTGCAGCGTCAAGCCCAAGCCTTCGGGGAAGCTCTTGTTGGGTACCGCGGGGTCCCTATAGCCCTTACACCCTGCAAAGCAGCATTGATGCCTGTTCATTTGTGTGTTTGATGAACCCCTACCTTAAGAATCCAAAATCCACTTTTTTGTAGGTTCTTATTATAAACCCTAATATGGGATTTATAGGGACCCTACAAAAAAGTAGGCTTTGGGTTCTTAAGGTACTTATCTCGAGCCACCAGTTTAGAGATAGGGCCTTTAAGTTCAAGGTTTGGGCTAGCACGGGGACTCAGATCGAACTCCGAGTTCAGCAAATGGCTTCTGTTGTGGAGAGGACCATCGTGAAAGCAAGGCTGCATATGAACATACTACTCATGACAACCGACAACCGCCATACAAGTGGCCACAATGCCAGAACTCGCAGGAAACCTGCGAGTCACACGAGTTTTAGTAACCCCGCACCACTAGAAAGAGCGCTGGCAAGTCTCCAGTCGATGACGAGGTTTGTAGATTTTGATGGTACCAGAACTACTGTTGAGCTGAAAGTGCGCTGGGTGCACGAGGTAGTACACTGTTTAAGCGTGTAGAGCAAGGCACCTGTATGTTGATTGAAGTCTGCCATGATGGGAAGCGTTTCACTGGTACTGTGAACAAGCATCGCAGTGTGCTTGGCAAACATGCGCCCAGTGTAGTTGCCGCGCACAGGCCAAAGAAACACATTGCGAAGACCACAGGAATATGCTCGCGAAGTCGGACCACAATGGATCAGCCTCCGAGGAACCCCAAGTCCATAACCCTAAACATGCCCTAACCCGCTAAACCATTACACCTCAAACCCTGACACACGAAACCTCCATGCCATGCCTCAAAAAATACAAGATAACGGCCAAGAGGCATTCTCCGAAGAAGGCGGCAGCAGCGAGTCCACAGCCTTGTTGTTTCGTTTAAATTTCGGGCGCTGGAGAACTGCGAAAACCCAGAAAGCCGCTGGTTTATAGGATTCGGGCCAACTGCATGCAGGCTTTGTCTTTGCTTCCCGCGTTGCTACGCCCGGACTTGGTGCTCCTAGATGTTATTATACTTGCCAGGGTAGCCTCGCATCATCTGTATCCTGGCAGCATCTGTATGAAGCACGCGTGGTTGTTGGCCTTCGAGATGAAGCTAAAAAGCTACACGCAGCGGCCTTAAAGGCTAGGGCCAGAGAATGCGCTGTATGGGCACAGGTCGGTGCGACCTCTCTATAGTCGACCCACCTCACAGAATCCTCGATGCCCCAAGGCTTGAACAGTGCCGCCAAGACTGTTTTGAAACAGTGCTGCAGGCAGGCTGCGGCCCGGAAATTCAGGGGAGTTGTCCAGGATGTCAGGCTTTAGGCAACTACCTGTAGTCTCTATTGTAGTTCCTTTTGGGGGATACCTTATAGAATCCTTAATATACAGTTGGTTAAACCAGAAAAAGGAACTACAATGGATACTATAGGTAATAGACAACATTTTTCCAGGAGTGATTCCAGCGGTTTTCAGGGATACCCAATAGATCGAGCTATCTACATTGAATCTACACAGTCGGATGCTACCGGTATATCTAAGCTTAACCTACGTTCCTGTAGCCCGGCGAGAAAGGATGCTCAGTCAGTCTTCAAAATCCCATCAACAGATACCGAAATCAGTGTCTGAACAACATCCTTAACAAACACACCACAACAAACAAAACAACACTCGAAACCTAACCCTTCAAAACCCAACTCCAAAACTGAACGCCCAAAGCCTTCTATTCGGCCATCGAACTTCGGAGAGCATCAGCGGTGGCCGGCGCAGCGGCATATCTGAGCCTTTCACCAGTGCTCCGACTCCACCAGTAGAGTACAGCTTAGGGAGCTGAGGCAACAACGGGCTCGAGTCTTGTTTCCTCTACTTACCCATAGGCCCCATAGTAGTTCCTTTTTGGGGTTACCTTATAGGCTTCTAAATCTGAACCCCAGAAAGGAACTACTATGGAACCTATGGGTACTCTACTTCACAAGGAGTGGCCTGCATTGCAGGGTGGTTGTCAGGTTTCGGCATGAACTCAGGCTGTTCCATCTCGCCTGAGAGAACTGACTATGAAAGGTGGATTGAAAAGGTTCAGGGTTTTACATTTTAGGTTTGGGGATAGTATTTACAACGGCACAACATTAATTTAATGGAACCTGGGAGTCTACGCACAGAGGTGGGTCATCAGCACTTGCTCACACCTGGCGCTGAAACCTCAATACTCCGATAATGTCTCTACAACTGCACTGGACCGAAATGCCTCGCAGACCCCTCCCAGTCCCTCTCAGGTCATGTGCGGCCGCCGTGCCTTTTTCTGCAGGGCTTCTAAGGGTTTAGGGGCTAGGGTCTACTGTTCAGGGTTGAAGCCCTCCAAGACAAAGCCAGGTCCACCGGTACACTCAAGTACCAGATTTGCTCAACACTCTAAATTACTGAGACCCTCGCACATGGTATATAGGGTCTGCTGTTTAGGGTTGAAGCCCCCAGTCTAAACGTGAGACCCTTGCACCCAGTACGCCCTCAACCCTCAATCCTAAACCCTTAGATCCCTTTAAGGAGCCACCCTCAACCCTCAGTCCTAAACCCTTAGATCCCTTTAAGGAGCCCTTCGAAGGGACCCCTTGGGATTCTCCCCTTCGAGGGTCACCCTGGCTCCGGTCCTCGTAGGCAGCGCAACACCCAGGCCGAGCAGGCCTGGCACCACAAAGGGACAGGCTAATGTAGGGGCCTTTATAGTTACAGAATAGGGTTTTGGGGCATATTGTACTACGTTTATAATAAGGAACCTAGTCTGGGTCGGGTTCTGAACCTCTGTGAACGAAGAGTCTTTCGAAAAGCAAGCCAACGAACCTTCCAAACCACATGCCCGAGCAGGTGCACATTGGAATTAGGGGTTCATGCAAATGCACCTCATGAATTATGAAACTGGCGTGTCCCGGAAGTTGACTTCTGGGTCCTTCCAGGAAAGGCGGAGAAAACCTAAAATAAGCCAAGGTGCCCTCCTTATGAACAAGCGTGACATCCTGTCGCCACAATGCAGACACTCCACACAAGACCTCAACAACTGACGGTTCCTGCATTTCTGCGAGGTAACATGCCTTCCTGCCTTGTGTACGGTTGGACAAGACGGCGAAAATTCGGGTCGAAGCGATTGACAAGGACCTACTACAGAGCGTTAGAGAGCCCTGTAACAGTTTAGGGCTCTGCGTTACGCAGGTACACGCGGCATTCATGGTCCCAGACTTCATCGCTGCCCATTTAGACTTGTTTTGACCCCATACACCTAAAAAGCCCTAACAAAATAAGCCAGACGTCCTAAAGCCCGAAAGCCCGCAGCCCTTATGTCCCAAGTGAAGGGCCTCCCAGGGCGGTCTGCAGCGCGAGACGTGCGAAAGTGAGCCTCACCCATAGGCCCCATAGTAGTTCCTTTTTGGGGTTACCTTATAGGATTCTATATATGAACCCCAGAAAGAAACTACTTTAGGTCCGAGGCCCGTTTCGACCAACAATCAGCTAGTTACGCCCCTCCAGCACAGTAACAGCTATAAAGGTATACCGATAGGCCCCACAGTAGTTCCTTTTTGGGGTTCATATTTAGAATCCGATAAGGTAATCCCAACAAGGAACTACTATGGGGCCTATGGGTAGGGCTCAGGTTTCTTTGCTTCTGCTTCAGTGGCTAAGGAGTCACGCACGCATCTGAGCATATCTTCGCTCAAGTCAGGCTTGGCAAGCCCACGCAAAACGATGAACCTAAAATAGAGCTTAAGGATTAGGCGATTAGGGCTGGTGCTGGCATGGAGATGTCTGCTTCTGTGCTTGCATTCGGGAGCATCAAACGAGGTCTACAAGATGTTGTTAGAGTTCGAGGTTTAAGAGGTACAGACACCATGACTGAAAAGCCGTGACTTAATTTGGGCCAAACCTCCTGAGCCTGATTACTCTGCAAACCCTCTACCTCTCACCTTTTACATTTACTTAACCACAGCGAGGATGTGCACTCCAAGCATCCGACATGCCAGTAAGCACAACACCCCTGAAACCCATGCCGCCCACTTCTTGGACGGCGATACCCAGGGGTTGGGTGGTCATGCTTCAGCCCAAGTGCCAGTAGCACATTCTCAACCCCAAGCGTCCCTAACACCTCAGACACCTAAACCCTAAACCCTTATAAAACCTAAACTCGAAACCCTAAACTCTAAACCTCAGACACCTGGTCCTTCAATTCCAAACCCAGCGGCTCGTGACTCCGCGCGACTCCCAGGCTCCGCAAGACCTCGAAGTCTCGAGAGAGCAGGGCTTTCAGCTGCAGTTCTCTCGTTATTGTTTGCGGATTTTTGGAGTCTGAGGCTTGTTCTTTGCAGCCTTCTTGACGGCTTCAGGATGTCACGGCCGTCTGTTAGAGGCGTGCTAGTGCAGATTGACGCATCTGTGGAGCTTGCGGGCTTATATTTCTTCGTTTAGGGTGCATGCTAGGGTTCGTGCCTCTTCAGGTTGTTTCTCTCTCCGGGTTGCTGAAAGTCCTCGGGGTCTCGGATGCGCAATCTAGCTTCGGCTTTTGGGATAACTTACAAAGACTGGCAAGAAACGAAGCTAGTAACAGCTAGTACGGTGCAAAGAGTAGCATGCAGCAATGCAGGTCTGATGGCTGATGATTTCGGCACTCACACTCGGACGAACCTAGGCGAGGTTCCTGGTACGGGGCGAGGGGGTTGAGGCTTTCATGACATCGTACAAACAGGCTTGAGACTGAGAAAGACAGGCTCAGGGTTTCCACTTGTTGTCATTGTCCGATGTCGAGAGCGCTTGGTTCACTGTCCCTCTCCAGAAAGGCCGGTAGACAGCGAAACCAGCATCGTAATGCAGAGCTCTCGAAGACAGATCTCGGTTCTAAACCCCGTATCCCATGGTCAAACCAAGTTAAGCCCGACTGGAACCCCAGCGCTGGATCACCAAGGTGCCCCTCGAAGAGCCAGAGCGGCCATCGCAGATGCTAGGAACAGGGACAGCACCTGGTCTTGAAGGAGGCGTGGCAAGAGCCATCACTTGTGTAGGGCTTGAGGATGCCGGCTGCACGTACTGTGCAGCCACGCCTTCTAACTAATCGAGACGGCCTCTCAACCCCAAAGAACCCTGAACCCCTAATGCCAACTTCTGCAGCTCCGGCACCACGCCCCGTGGTGCCAGACGACGTGCCAACCAGGCTGCCAAGAAAAGCCCAGCGCCTGCTTGACCCATCTACAAAGGCTAAGCGGTTTATAAGAGGTGTGTGTGTGTGTGTGTGTGTGTGCGTGTGCATCTACCCACCTACCTGCCTGTCTGCCTGCCTACCTACACAGACAAGACAGCAAGACGGACAAACAAACAGACAGGCAGGCAGGCAGACACACAAAGGCAGATATGTATGTACACATGCGTGTGTATGTATGTAATGCATGCATGCATGCATATGTATGCATGTATGTAGGTATGTATATATTGAGGTATGTAAGTATGTGTGTAAGCATGCATGTATCTATGTATGTATGTATGTATGTGTGTATGTATGTATGTATGTATGTATGTATGTATGCATGTATGCATGTATGCATGTAGTTCTGTATGTATGTATGTATGTATGTATGTATGTATGTATGTATGCATGTGTGTATGCATGTGTATGCGTGTGTGTGTGTATGTAAGTATGTATGTATCTATGCATGTGTGTATATGCATGTACGTATGTATGTATGCATGTGTGTATGTATGTATTTATGTGTGTCCGTGTGCTAATACACAGAGGGAGAGGGAGAGGGAGAGAAAGAGAGAGAGAGAGAGAGAGAGAGACCATCAAGGCATAAAGAATCAACGACGTACCTAACGAAACAAATGCAGCAATACAGAAACACAACAGAAAGCACGAAACAACCAGGCATAAACACAGCGGAAGACGTAAATAAAGAAAGAAAGAAAGAAAGACAGAAAGAAAGAACGAAAGAAAGAGTGTGCAGGCCTTGTAGGCTTCAAGGTTAGGTAAAGTTCGAGGCCCTTCAAGGTTCAAGGAAAGTATACATGTACGGGCGGATGTGTCCGTATGGGTATGTGTGTGTGGGTCTGCATATATTTGTATATAGACGAATATGTACATATTCCGTCACAACCGAGAAAGTGATAGATAGGACAGTGATAGGACCACGCCTTGAAACCGCCTACTACAACCATGTCGAGGGAACGAACCGCAGCGGGGGATGAACTCAATAGGGTGGCATCTCCGCGATCGCTTCGCTGCACACATCGGGTCTTTTGAGCTGCCCGTGAATCACTGAGGATCCCGTCTTAGGAGCCGATGCTTGCACTTATCGTGGCGGCCTTCCTGATCCTGGGGAAATCCCGTACATCAGATGAGTCGTGGAGTCAGTGCAACGGACACTAAAAAGCCGAATCCCTAAATTTAAACCCTACACCAAAACCATACCAAAACCTCAGCCCTCTATCTGACTCTACCCTATACCCTGAATCCTACAGATCCTATAGGCATCAAGCCCTCTATGCTAAAGCCTGAAGCTGATAAGTCTGAAGCCTTCAAAAACCTCAACAACCCTGAACCCAGATGCTAGCGCCTGTCAGAATCACGGAGACAACCTCGAGACCGCCAGCAGCCATCGAGGAGGAGCGGATAAGCAGGGGAACCTTATTTGGCGGTTAGCTTGTTTGCGTGGGGTTTAGCTTTTGTTTCATGCTCCTTGCTCCTGCTGCTCTAGGCTCCGACATGTATTACCCGATGCTTCCAGGGACCTTATTATTGGGCCCTTAAGGGGTCTAGGGCCCTAACTACAAGGTCCTTGGAAGCATAGGGTTAGTTTAGGGTTTTGACACTCACACTCGGCCAAAGCCTGGCAAGGTCTGCAGCGGGTTTAAGGGCTTGCCTATAGTCTCCATTGTAGTTCCTTTTGGGGGATACCTTATAGAATCCTTAATATATAGTTGGTTAAACCAAAAAGAGGAACTACAATGGAGAGTATAGGTGAGGTGTAACGTAGGAAAGCGTTTCAGGTCCATTCGTTGGTCACGGCCTCCCGATTTTTGGGTTGGGATGAAGGTTTCTTTGGTCTGGGTTGGGATGTGGACTTGAAGCCCTAAACCCGTACTTACCTTCGAGATTCTTTGGTGTTGGGGGCTGCGGGTGTAGGTCTCCAAGGGGCGTTGTTCGTAGAATAGGGTGCGGGCATGGGCCTAAGCTGAGTACCATGATCCTTGAAGTACACCAGCCCTGGCCCCTGAGATCCTGAACTCCGAACCCTTTTTTTGAACCCAGGCTCTTTGCAATCAGCTGGGGGGCAGGCATGACAATTGCACGCCTGTCTGGAGACTTGGGCAGGTAAACAACTCTCAAGGGAACTCCGAACCCTAAACCCTTAACCCTAAACCCATTGTACTCTACATGTTCAGCCTGAAATCCGGAAGCGCCAAACTCCAGGAGTCCCTTATCCTCTCCGAGGCCTGCACTAGGGCGCCCTGAACCGACAGCAGAAGCGTTGCCACCGCCGAGCCTACCACGGAACTGGAATGGGAGGGCGGGGAAGGCATTTTAAGGATGCATTTATAAGGGTAACTACAAGGGGGGACTACAAGGTCAAGTATCTAAGCTCCAGGGTTTAGTTTGGGAATTGCATATGCGGGTGCGCAGGGGCTCAACAGGCCCGTAGCAAAAGCGTATCAACCGCTCCGCTACCAGTGCAAGAATGCACTGGCAACGTCACTGCTTTTTGTGCTCGCTTGAGCCCAGTGCGGTCAGCTCAAAGCTGAGGTCAAGACTGCCAGCATGTGTGTCACATGCGCTCTGTACCTCCATGGTACCTACACGGAACCAGGAGTTTCACACAATGTCTGATTTTACGTTCTTCGCTTAGGGTGTTTCTTCTTTAGGGCGTCACCGTTCAGGGTCGGGACTTTCGAAGCTGACACCCCGAGAAGCGCCTGCCAGCAAATGACCAGACTCCTCACTACTCAAGTCCGCGCCGGGGTCCTCGGGGCTTCGCATGGTGGCCATGGTCCCATCCCTACTTTTCTGCTAGCAACTATTTGGGGGTTTGCGAAAAGAGGGGACCCTAATACAGTGCCCCAAATAGTAGGATTATAAGGACCCCAAAATAGGGTACCCCTTATTTTCGGAAACTGCTCTTTGCACGTCTCTACTAGGGTTCGGTATGCTCTATGTCCCGTTCTGACCCCTGCAGATTCAGGTTTGGGTTCCGGGCGCTTTGTCTGGTTTCGGGATTTGAGGATAGGACTCTGGCGGTTCGAGCTTGGGATCCTTCGACCTTCGGAGGTTGAGGCTCAACGTGCAGTAGATCTTGCGGCGGACACCATAGCCGCAGCCCCCCCCCAAAAAAAACAAAAAAACAAAAAAAAACATGCGAAGCTGCGATCGTAAACCACGGCCTTTAGCTAAAAGAGAACTACACTTTCTTGGCTACTGGAACGTAAGCCTTGAAAACCCACCAAACCCGTGCCTTTCCCTTACTGGTACCCTTGAAGAAAAGAACCCAGATCAAAAACTAGATACCTATCCCATTTTACTCGTATCACGACAAAGAACTTGATCCACCCCCACCGAACCTGACCGAAACTCCGAATTGCAAGAGCCTCGCTTCAAATGCCGAACCTCGAATCCGTAAGCCAAAAACCCAAACCCAACCCTCAAATCCTAAATCCATTGCATATCCTCTGCATCCAAAACCATGCTCAGCCTTTAAGCCTTGAGCCTTGAGACCCAAGTTCCTTTCATTTTCGGCCTGCCGCCTTATGTGACAATGGGAGCCCAATCTACCATGAACTAGGTTGCTGCAATAGGGTACTTGCTTCCGGGTCGATGACACCCAGCAAGGATAAGTGCTTCTTTAAGCTGGAAAATGGGTTCAAGTTTTCCCTATGGGCGCCCTCAGCACCCTAAACCCTCCACTGTAGTAACTTTTTTGGCTGCCTGCTATTTTATCCTAGGATCCTGACCACGAGATCGTAGGTACAAATACGAGTCGGCCGCCAGTTTGCCTTTTGCGTCTCCTATGGCCTATGGGACCCAAACATTACATATACAAAAACACATTCCGCTCCTCTGACTCCACCGGTCCGTGCAGCGTCTCCGCGGCACAAAGCTGCGCAGCGCAGGTCACACCGCCCTGACTCTAGGCGTCTACAGTAATTTAGGGGCCGTTATTTCTACACTTTAGACCCCCAAAGTAAGTATACTATTTGTATATTTGGAGCCCTGGAGTTCGAGGTTAAGACCTCCACACTACCCAACCCAGGCCCAATCACTCCCCATTTGCGAACCCCGGGCCCTTAACCAGTCGTCTGATGGAAAAAAAGATAGTAACGACTTGCCTATACTAGTAAAGTAAGGACCTTAATGAACGGTGTATCTCATTGCCGTGATGTAGGGGTTTTCGTTGTGCTCTATATACACACTGTCACCCACTAGAACAACTTTAACGGGGCTTCGCTTCACAACGCAAAACGCCCCAGGCCCAAGTACCATAAATGAGTTGGCCAAGAATGTACATGGGTCCGGGGCATTGGCAGTGCTAGCTGCAGGTTGTGGTGGTTGGCGAAACACACGGCCCAAGCCCACTAACTATGCTCCAGAGCTCTATTGCCAATGTGCTGACGATGTTTTAGGCATCTGGCTGCTTCGTACACATCACCTGGCTGGCTAGCAAAATTCACTAGCAGATAAACCTATCCTAAACCCTAAACTCTAAACCCTATATACAGGGTTCACAGTTTGGAGAGCTTGGCTGTATCCCTGAAGCTCTGACACCCCTCCACTCAATCAAGACCGTGGACCACCGCGAATCCAAAACCTCAAACTTTTGAGCCTTCCCACAGGGTCCAAAGTACCTATACAGTAGAATGTAGGGTTTCTATATTAGGAATCCTTATTATGGTTTGGGAAAGTATCCCCCATAGCAGTACCTAGGACCCTTTGGGCTTTCGCAATCCAAAAGTCCGAATCATTGCCGAACGCGGGTTGGATGCAACTGGAGGCCCACAACAACCGCTACGCTAGTGGATTCTGGGCACTGTAGGGTTTGCCCATAGTCTCCATTGTAGTTCCTTTTTGGGGATACCTTATAAAGTCCTTAATATATATTTGGTTAAACCCAAAAAAGGAACTACAATGGAGACTATAGGTGTGGTTTAAGGAGCAGGAACACACTATACAGGCAACTAAGCTTCAACACACGTCTTCGAAGCCGTGGCGCGACAATTACCAGCAGCGCCATCAGCGAGTCCTGTGCATGGCCGGCGATAAGCCTACCTATAGTCTCCATTGTAGTTCCTTTTTCTGGTTTAACCAATTATATATTAAGGATTTTATAAGGTATCCCCAAAAAGGAACTACAATGGAGACTATAGGTAGACCCTAAATGCCCTGCAGCTCACATCCGAAACTCTGCAGCGATCCGACCTTCAGCTACAAACTCAATAAAACAGGATCTCAACAGCAAGCTAGAAGCCTCTGTAAATGCAAAGTCCTGCTCTAAATGCAAGCCCGGCAGCACAACCGAAGATTGTTTATAGTCAGTTTAGTCATCGGCAACAAATGCTTCGTGTTGAGATTCTATACACTTTATACATTATCTTAAACGCCTTAATTCTCAACCCAGGACCCTAGTTTGCCTGAGGATCCTGATCCTACAACTTCCGGGCAACAACCCCAAACCTGAACGGGGAAAACCCCAAAGCCTCTAACCCCTAAACCCTAAACCCCTAAACCCCTAAACCCTAAACCCTAAACCCTAAACCCCTAAACCCCTAAACCCTAAACCCTCAAGCCTAAACCCCTAACCCCTAAACCCTAAACTTCGGCAGTGCCTCGTCTGCCCAGGACGAAAGGGGCCCGGCCAGGGATGGACCGAGCAAGGCTCCTCGGCAAACACATGGGAATACGTCGGCCATAGGGTTTAGGGTTTAGGGTTTAGGGGTTTAGGGTTTAGGGGTCTAGGGTTTAGGGGTTTAGGGTTTAGGGGTTTAGGGTTTGGGTGTTTAGGGTTTAGGGTTTAGGGGGATACGTCGGCCATAGGCCTACAAATGGAGGTTCCCCAGAGACTCCAAAACCCCTTAATTAAGGAATATACCTTAAATCATATTAGGGATCCTAGCATAATTTAAGGTATATTCCTTAATTAAGGGATATTGGAATCTCTGGGTCTATGGGGTGCCGTCATACTGTCTCAAAAGTCGCTGACAACAGGTGCAGGCAAACAGCAAATACCGTCAAATCTGCGCCCCTGCTTACATTAAAGGATCATGAGACCTAGGACGTACGGTTACAACCATGGAGCTCTAGGTCAATCATGTTATATCTACTCATATCACCCAATTCCTGTTCCGAAATGAAAACCCTAAATAATCGTCACGAACTCCCACCTCCTTGAATACTAACACCTTACAATGCCCTTACGAACGAACAAAACCCCCGGGGAAACGTGGGGGCAAAGGCTCAACAGAGCCCACAACCCAGGGTTCCCCAGCCCGGAACCCCTAGGTTCCTCAGTATCCTGTGCATGATCGAATATATGTTGTTTGAATGTGAATATGTATACATATATATATATATATACATATCATTATTATTGCTATTACTTTTCTTATTATGGTCATTATTCCTGTTGTAAACGATATATGGCTTCGCGGCCGTCGCAAGGATGGTGAACCTGGAAAACCAACAGTAAAACTAGCCTTTGGACAAAGCTTACAGGGACCCGACAAGATAACCGATAACCCAATAGGATCCCGATACCCTATAGGAACCCTATACGAATCATGGCGCCGAAGAAAGCGGCGCAGGCTCGCCAACCTGCCGTCTGCTTCCACCAAAGGCAAACTAATTAGAATGAGATTCTTTATTGGCATTCACAAATGTGTAAAAATGGTCTCACAAGTGTATAACTTTCTTTATTGGCATCCAGAAATCTTTAAAAATGGTCTCACAGGTGTATAACTTTTCTGTCTGAATGCAGGGCCTTGGGAAGGGGTCATGTGTGGCAAGGCTGTTCAGGGACTGAGGGGGAATGTGGAAAGTCGTTGTTATTCAGATTTCGAAAATGGTTGACAAAGCTTGTTTAGTTCAAGACAAAGGATTGGGTTTGGGTTTGAGAGGCAGGCATGGTTTCTTGAACTTTGCAAGATTTTCGCTGGGTGGAACTAAGGTTCCGAGGTTCAAGGTTCAGGGCATGTAACGAGTTCAGCCAGATAAATCACTTTCTGTCGTGTGTTCGGATTGACCCCCGCTGCCGACCATTAAGCGGAGTTACATTGGGTCTCCCTGTCGTGGGGGCAACAGGGCGGTTGGTCTCAACCTCTTCGGTTCAAGAAGAAGAAAAACATACAAAATTCCAACCACCCCGATACCAAAATGCTTCACTCATAGTCGAAGCAATGGGGCATAAGGTTCAAGGTGTGTAGGGACTGGTATGATTTGCCAGGGTTACAACTCATGCGAACTCTAAGCCCAAATCCCTGACACGGAACCCCCCGCGGAAGTCTCAAAACCATAAACACATAAGCCAGAACCCTCAAGTCCAACGATCGGCAGGATTTGGTAAGCAAACCTGAAGGCTGAAACCCAAGCCTCTGACTCCTAGAAACCCACAAAGCCCGACCCAAAGTCCCCAAAGAGCCCTCTGAAACGAGCACCTGCCCAACAAGGCCCGCCAAGCAGCAGGGAGTGAAGGAGTGGCACCTGAAGGGTCTCCGAAGCCAAGGTAAGCGTTTCGTGGTTTAGGGTTGCAGGGTTTAGGGCTTTAGTGGTTTGGGGCTATAAGTTCTAAGGGTTCATAGGGGCTCACGAAGTTTAGGGCTTGCAAGGTCCTTTGTTTAAGGTGAATTTCGGACTCTTACTACTTCTGTGCTTTTTGCGGCCTAAGCTTGTAGGGCTTCAGGAACGTTTGCGGTTTAGGAAACTCTGTGAAAAGCCATAGCACCCGTGAATATCTGGTGGAAGCTGACGCATGCACATGCCAACCTACGTCCCTAGCAGACATGTCATGTTCTCACGTGCTAATCTCGGTACAGTGCCATCCATTCGAGGCCAGACTTCAGTGCTCCTAAACCCCAGCCCCTGCGCACCTGAGACTCACATACGCAAAACCCCAAAAAACGCAACTGAGCACACGGAAACCCACTTAAGCCCTCAACACACCTCTTGGCGATCCCGGGTGCCTTCACGAGGGCGCTTGCAACGGCCCCGACATGGTAGCAAGTTCCCACCTCAACAAGACCACAAAAATCGAGAGTTTAGGCAGAAGATTTGGTCCTGAATGACTTCTCCTAGGGAATTGGGGAGGTGCGGGGCTTGACCTAGCACGACTCTAGTCGCTTTTGGAGCTGTCTTGCGTTCATGTTCGAGACCTGAGCCTGGTCTGGGTCTTCGAAACCCTGGGCTTGGAGGTGTGGTGGAGGTCGATTCTTTCAAAAGGTTTTGCACACGCCAGAGTCACGAGCAGCTGTGACCGCCAGACATAAAGCACTAGCCGTCAGCTCCTTGAGTAGGAAATTGGTCGACTTAGAATTAGAATATTAGAAGCCCTAAACCCTAAATACTAAACCGCTGCTAGCCCCTCGAATCTCAGAAACGGAATCATGCACAGATTCATAGCTCGGCCTCCGAAGTCCCGGCCAGCACCTATGAAAGCCCGACTCAGGTACTCAACTTGCATGTAAGCCTAGAGCAGAATACGGCATAGTATAACAATGATAACACACTAGTCTTGAAGCAAAGTATAACATAGTATACATATATGTATGTGGTATACACATACAGTATATTATACTGCCATATCACATGTTCAAATATGGTATAACCCAATATGGCTTTATGATTTTATAATCATGCGAGGCTCCCATAATCCCGGCTCCGTCTTGAAAGCGACAGCTGCCTCAGCAAAACGAAGCTACTTCGGTGCTTCTCGCGAAAATCCTAACTGTTTCAAGATCTCAGAATGCCCACGGGTAAGGTTCGCGGGTTTGTGTCACTGTGTGAGAGGGCATGTAGGTTTGAAATAGGGTAGCTAGAGGTCCTTCAAAAAGGCTAACCGTTTTGCTTGTTGAGGTCCACTTTGTAGACCTGAAAGCCTGCAATGCGAAGTTGAGGTCCACTTGGTAAACCTGAAAGCCTGCAATGCGAAGTACCGCTGTATGGCAGTTTCCGAAAATTAGGGTTCCTTATTTGGGAGTCCTTATCATGAGGATCCTACTATTTAGGGTCGTATATTAGGTACCCTATTTCCGGAAACCCCCATATACATTCAACCCCCTGAGTCCATCACAGCCTTCCATCGTCCGAAGCACGCGAATTGCTGTTTGAGCTCACTTATCGGCCCTACAGATCGTAATCTCTGAACCCCAAGCCCCTAAACCCCAAACCCTCAAGCCCTAAACCCAAAAACAAAAACCTTAAACCGTATAATACCCTAACCCTTTTGCATCCAGGACTCTTGTAAGCAGCCGGGAAACTCCACAAGACAGCGCCTAAACCCTCCAGCAGCACGCGTGGCTACTCTAACCCTAAACCCTAAACCTTAAACCACCCTAAACCCCGAAACCGAATAAGTAAAGCATCACAACTCGGATCACCGAGGCGCCCATGGCAGAGACAGCATCCTCGCAGCGGGGCTCACAAAACACCCTTACCCGTAGCCTTGAACCCCGGGTTTAGGGTTTAGGGTTTAGGGGGGTTTGGGCTTCCCTGAAAAGCTTATAGCCTTGAAACCCTAAAGATCTCTTATGAACCTCTCTGAAGCCCTGAAGATCCCTCATCAAGCTTATGAGCCTTAACCTGAAGAGCCTGAGTCGGCCCTGACTTTGGGACCCATGCAATGTCCCTTCTTTGGGATGACCGGGGCTTCGGTTCCGTCCTGGATACGCTTCATATCGAAACGGGACAGCAGGAATCAGGTCCCTTGACTTGCCGTGCTTAGGTCTCTCGGGGCTGCTGCAGGATTTGGCAATCTTCAGACGGCCATCTTTCTAGGCTTGTTTGGCTATTCGGCGACGACGCCCTGCTTTGAAGGCTGGGACCGCTCAAAACCCTGAGTCGTTTTTTGACGGTCCAAAGTCACAACAAGTGTCAACTTTCAGTTTCAATCGGGGCATTCCTCATCCAAACCTATACACAAGGATGTCAAGGGTGAAGGCTGGACTACCTATGTAGGCAGTCATTTCGGCTTCGGAGATGCATGGGGGGTATCAACGTCTAAATCCGAAATGACGGTATTCACGCCACAAACTTCGCCAAGGGTACGCAAGGCCAGCCGCGCTCAGCCGCGTCGCGGCGGCAGCGCTTCGAGTACGGAGGATGGGGAACCTGGGATATAGGGTTTAGGGTTATACCCTATCACTGTGGTTTCTGAGCTCACTAGACGAAGGATATCGAAGGATCAAGCTCTTCACCGCCAGGCAGTGACTCAAGCACACTGATGTAGGGCAGGCTTTTGGATGCTCCAGGCTGGCTTCGGCGGGATAATGTTCTTTGGGTGTGAGTTGTGGGTACATCTGATTAAGCAACTTGACACTGACACGGCTGCTTCCTCCGCGATCGTTTTCTTCCACGCTTCTGTCAAATGCGGCAAACTTTGGCATATGACATACCGCGACTCCGACGCGAAGAGTGTCGTTAGTTGTGAGATCGAGTAGCTCGATACGGAGGCTGGGGGCTGGTAGGGTGTGGGGCTTGTATCGCGTTTATATGTCCTGGAGTTTAGAGGGACTTGGAGATGGGACTTGGAGACTCGCTCCACAGCAAACTTCTGGCTCTGCAGTGCCTACACTTCGAAACAGTGCAGGGCTGGAGCTGCTGGCGTCTGCTGTCGAGAATGAAAGAGGCTTCGAAGTCACAGCATAGCTGTTTTGGTGCGTATCGGTGTGTCATGTCCGCGCGTGCTTCGCGCACTAGGGTGTAGGCAGACGAATCAAGTCCAGCTGCTCATACTCCCGGGCTTCGCTGCAAGGTGCTGTTTTCGAGATGCAGAGCCCTGCTCTCCCTGAACAGGCACCTGGAGGTTCTTGAGCAGTTCGGCCAATTTAGTCTTGGTGTCCGGATCCAGGTGGAAGTCTTTCCCTTTCCAGCGGCGCAAATCGCGAAGAAATCTAACGACCAATCAGTTTTGTGCGCAATGGCTGTAGAGATTTCGGCCACGACCATGGAGAGTATGGTCTCATACTGTTCCGCTGTCCCAGCAACATGTGTTCTGCTAGAACGAAGCTGGGAAAAGTAAAAACTCCCGCGAGTCTTTCTGAATGGCCCAACAGCGAGACGGCGAAAATGTCCAGATCGCCTAATTGGACATCTTCGTCGTTTCGCTGTTGGACCAAATCGCCTTGTGCGTACGGGACCGTTCCAAAAGGCCGAAACTGTTTATTAGGTTTGCACCAATATATTTTCCAGCTCTCGATCGATGCACTGCCTTCTCCTGAAGCGCCACTGGCGACCATCACAGCTGAGCGTGGAGTCCACAGCACAAGTCAAATTGAACGGTCGATCAAGCCGCAAACCCACTGATTCAACCACCGTCACAAGTTGAGTGTGAGAGTGTTCTTCCACCATATGGTTTCTGCTGCTGCATTGAAGAAGTGCATCCCGTAACGAGATGTGTGGAATGCTGTCCTTATGGGCACGTAGGGTTTGCGTTGAAGGAAATTCCTTCAGCGCAGGCCCTACCTGCCCCTCGCACCATGCCTGGTCTCCTTGGGAACCAAGCGTGATCCATAGGCCTGTCTGTGAAACCTCGCTACCGGGGTCCATCCAAATAGTGTCGTGCTCTAGGGCGATCAAAACCAAAAGCATTCCATCATAGCCTCTTGTGCCACCGAAAGCATAGCAATCACTGCTGATGCTTTTCTTCGGGCTCGAAAATTTGAGCTGCAGAGCCAAACCACCAAGCTTCGACCCCAGGGGTTCGAAACAGCGCGTCGTCCCGCGATAAGGAGGGCACATTAACAACTTCGAATTCCGATGCCTGTGGAGTGCAAAGCTCACGTAGCTTCGTGTCAAAACTATAGACCCTAAACCCTAAACCGAGACTATAGGCAGCTTCTGTCTCCTTGGCAAAGCTTCCGACAAACTGTTTGAACCCTTGGAACTTACCATCCGCCCGAAACTTCTGTCTCTTCTCATTCCAGTATGTAGGGGCCTAAATAATTAGAATAGGGTTTTGGGGCCCCTTATACTATATTTACAATGTACAATAAGGCTCAATAAGGAACCACCAGAATGTTATAGGTCATTATTCAGGCCCCTACATTATACTCCGCGGAATCCGCTTGTGGCAGACCGCAGCGGCTGCAAGGCTCTCTCCGCTCGCCTGTGTCGCAGGCACGAACGAAGCGGATGCGCAGCACAGACAAGTGGGGGTTTCCGAAAATAGGGGACCCTAAGAAAGTACCCTAAATAGCAGGATGCCTATCATAAGGACCCCAAAATAAGGTACCCCCAATTTTCTGAAACTCCCAAGTAAAGACTCGGTGCCGGCCATATCCTTCCCAGATCGCCCGGAGCGAGCAAATAATACTTGCACGATTGGAATGCCAGTAGCAGTAGCGCAAAGCCCATGCACAACATGCACCATGTGGATCGGCTTGGTCCCCGCGTGCGAGAAGAGGTCATGCTTGATAGGCTTTAACATGGGACTGAACAGCATGCTGGCCTTATTGGGGCACTTGACATGTAACGGCTGCCGAACAGGCACATTCGATTTTGTAGCATCTTGGAGTTGGATGTCTTTCTCGCAGGCTTCTGCATGATGAATGGGAGGTTCCTGAAGAATCGAAAGCGAAGAACCATGAACAGATTTTGAGGAATTTGGGGGAAGCTTGCGCAGGCTGGTCTGGAGTCTGGAGAGTATCCATACACGGTGCTGGATGTGGCAAATAGTCTACCAAGCTGTCCAGACGTACACTTTCAGCTGTGGAGAGCTGCTCAAGGCAGACTTCACATCTCTGAACCCTAAACCCTAAACCCTAAACCCCTAAAGCCTAAACTCTAGAATGAGGCTCAGAACTTCCCACAGCTGTCATGGCTTGCCTTCCCGATCCCGATCTTGGATGCAACCATTGAGTCGCCCCCTAACCCCCCAGGTGCCTACTATATAGGGTACTGGAGCCCCTATAAGGGCCCTATATAGTAGGTACCTGGAATTTAGGGTTATATATATATATATATATATTTTTTTTTTTTGTCTGGAGCCCCTATAAGGGCCCTATATAGTAGGTACCTGGGGGGTTAGGGTCGGATGTTGCAATATCGCTTTCGGGAACCAGAAATTCGGCTCCTTGGCGGTGCTAGGTTCCCCAGTAGCCCCCTCATAATAAGGGTACCCTTTTTCCTACTATTTGGTTTGAATAAGGGAACCCAAAAAGAAAAAGGGCAAAAGGGTACTACTTGGGAACCTAGGGTGGGTTTGAAAGGATTCAAGGTCTCGACCGCGAGGATTTGGTGTTTTTCAGGTAAGTCTACCCTGATCCCTAGCCCCAAACCTTCCAAACCCGAAAAGCCCTTTTGGCCCAAAAGGCACAGTTCCCCCAGCAATCTGTAGGATATATGCTAGATATAATAACTAGAGTATGCTTGTATTCTAAACAAATTAGGAGATCGAGGCTTCACGTTCAACAGGACCTCTCTGCAGCTGTGAGTGTATATGTCTGTCCACATGCTTATGCACTTGCGTGTCCTGCTGCATGTGGCGCTTGATCCTCGTTCGGGAAAGCCCTGGACCATCATGCCGAAGCCATGCGACAGTGCTGCCGTGGTCGCGAAACCTAACACAGGCCGCGCGAAGAAGAACATCACCTGAGAAGGCAGGGCTGGAGGCTGGAGGGCTTCAAGGATCAGGTTTTTGGGCTTCCGTTTTGGGTTTCATTGATCGCACGGTCTGGGGACGAGGACTCCAAGAATTCGGGGAACCTTACGGATTCAGAGTTCAGGGTTAAGGGCTTCGGAAGTTGAAGTCGTCTCGGACCCAAACCACGTCTCGCACAGCCGGGGGGACCACAACATCAATCGGTAGTGGAATGTGATAATGACATGCTTTGGATCCTCGCGCTGAAATTGACCCCAGGATTCAACGTTTGGCAAGTGTGGACAGCCCCCAACTTCGCGGCCTGGTTTTGAGGTTTGGTTTCACGGAAGTGTTGAAATTTGTAACATGCACTTATCGCCAGAGCTCGCAAAGAGAAGCCTTAAACGAGCTTTTAGAGAGTCGGGCCGCGGAGTACTCACCCTCGGCAGCGTGGGCTAAGATGGGCAACGTGATGACCTGCAGGCACTTCGGGGAAAAGCGTAAACCCTCAACCCTGAGCCTTATAAGCCCCAAAACCTCAACCTTCAACTCGAAACCCTCAGGTGTGGGAAAGCCTTACGGGGTGGGCAGATGCTATTGGCGGTTCTAGGGGGTCCCAAGTATGAAGGCTGTATCGTTTTGTGAAAGGGTCCATGCACCAATGTAGCCCATGCAGTAGATGTGTTGAGCTTGAGGTGCCCAGTTCGACAGGAATCCCTGTAAGGCCCGTGTACCATATATATATATATATACACACACACACACACCTTTACCCTAACCCCCCAGGTACCTACTATATAGGGTACTAGAGCCCCTAAGGCCCTATATAGTAGGTACCTGGAATTTAAGGTTATATATATATATATATTTTGTGTAGTGTGTGTGTATATATATAAATATATATGCATATACAGATATACAGAGAAGAGGCTCTCGGACCTTTGCGAAGAAGCGATGCGCGTTGGATTGACAGGGGCGACAATGCCACTTCTGCGTTCGAAACGACGCCTCGACGAAGCTGTCCACAGCAATGGCCGCCACGGCGCTGACCCTTAGAAAGCAGGCCAGCTCCCAATGAAGCCTAGCTTCGATAGAATCGAAACAATCTCCGTGTGGGCCCGAATAAGGAAACCCTTTTCATTGACTATAGATCCCTATTGTTGCAACTTGAACTTAGTTCCTCAACCCGAGCCCAGGAAGCGTGGTATGGTTTGAGGTGGCCTACACCCTTGATGCCACACGACTTTCTACTTTACCTTTGCCTCTTTCCCATCGTTCGCAGCATCTCTCGTTCTTTTGGCTCAAGGCCGCTCGAACGTAACAGCAGCGGAAGATTACACAATACAGAAGCGAACTTGCCAGGTTAGGGGTAGTTGGTTTGATTCGTTCAGGCTACAGGGCTCATACGGGTTGTAACGTTTCGAAGAGTCACGCTGAGCATGCGACAGGAGGATGGCAGGATCGTCACTCGGAGAGCTACGTTCCGATCCTTCTGAGAAAATGAAAAGCTTGTACAAGAAGGCTTGCAATGAAGCCTAGAACTTCCTCGAGGCAATTCCACGTTGTTCAACAAGCCTGTTGCCACTTCACCTATAGCCAAGTACCATACATCAGCCAGAGTGGCGTGAACAGAAGACGAGTCGACTTCCCCGAGGCAGCTGTCGCCTTCGTCTAAGGGCCAATGTACCCGAAGTGTTCCGTCAAGGGTATCCTTTTAGGGGTTCGACAAGGGCTCTAAAAGGGTTTAGAGGGCATAGAAGTCATAGAAGTCCAGGTAATGTACCGTCATGTAGTGCATACTTTGGCTCTATTGAAAGGGCTTCTGTGGAAGTGCTTCAGGCCCAGTGTGTACACTAAGTCAGAATTCGAGCAAGTCGGGGTCGTCTTGCGGCAGCACTGGCGGGCACCAGACGCTTGACAGGTTTTGGGCTGAGGGTGAAACAACTTATGAAGTAACTAGCTACAAGGGTAGTTCTCTTAATTAGGGTCCCCTTCTGGGTCCCCAATATAGTACGGCACCCCTAAAAAACGACCCTAAAAGGGACCCTAATTTAGAGAACTACCCACAAGAAATGGCTTCGTGGGATTATGCACAGCATGTTTTTTTTTTGATATGTTTCCTTGAAGGTTCGATCCTTGGCCGCCCTCGGGATTTTGGATCTTGCATTTCGGTTCATCTACGGTGCACCACGGCCCTTTTCCAAGTATGGATAAGACGGTGCAAGACATCGCAACCATTTGAGATATGTAGAAATCAATCCGAAACGCTGTCTCCTGGCTGATAGACGTGCCTGTAGCTCCCACCACTGCAATAGGTGGGCCATGACGCCAGGAACACAACGCATACCCAGTAAAACCGCAAAACCCTATACGCCTACGCAACCGCTGTCCTAGGCCGTAAGCCCAGAGAGTGATCTCAAATTCTTGCCTCATCGCCGACCTCTCCGGCATTCCGATGGAGAGCAAGCTTCATCTTGGCCGCGGCAAAGAGGTGTGGGGTGTTAACGTTCAGGATTTTCGAGGTTGATCGATTACGGGCTAGGGTTCTTTTGGACTCTCGGTTTGAGGTGGCCGGAGGCCAGAAAGGGGCTCTCAAGATAGTTGGGGTCGGTGGCATGGGCCACTCACGACCGAAAGCCTACCTGCTAAACCCGCCTTTGGCTTCCCGTGAAAGGGGCCCGGATACAGGGCGGATGCTCTAGAGCCAGCTACAAAGAAAATGGCTTTGAGGCGTCTGAGGTATCCATCTGAATGTGTTGTGTCGGGATCATTGACGCCATGTCCTCGCTGCACATTCTCATATCCCCATGCCTCGCCGTAGAGGCCGTCATCATGCTCATCACCTTCAACAACAACCACTTCTTCAAGTCATCACCTTACCTCATGGCCATTATCATAGACACGGTCAAACTCGAATTTCGGGCAGAACTTTGGGGTTCTGCTTTGGCGATTCTGGTGCCTTCGCAACCGGGCATTAGGAACTTATCGTCTCAACTACTAAGTTGCTCTAAGTTCTTCGGGCGCTGGGTTTCGAACTTCGAAGAAAAGGTTCAGCGAGGGTTAACATGCCTTTCAGAACGTTAAAATCATCGCAGGTGCACATGTAGGAGACCATAACTATCTCGCTGAAACTTTACATCACCGAGACTAACGCCAAACT